CCCCTCGATAGGGAGTTCAAAACGTTTGATATTATTTAATGTTCGTTGGTATGTAGCAATTACCTCCTGTACATAATTAAATTTTGTAAACAGTTATTTATGAGTCAGCAAGGTCTTTCCATTGTAAAGGGAGCCTGTCCTCTCAGGGACCCTCTGGCTGCCGCTCCTAGGTGAGCTGAGCAGGGGGTAGAGCTACCTGGCACCCCAGGTCCCGAGCAATTGGACACGGCCATGGTTAGCACGGTGCACCAAGGGTTACACAAATACACATGTACTTGTAGTGGCTACACGGGGGAACAGGTGGGGTGGTTGTTGCGGTCTGTGGGCATGAGCTTGTAGCAGTAGAGGTTGAGCAGTGCTGCTCACACTTTAACCTCCTCCCCCTCAGCATCTAGGGACACACGGTGGTGATCGCGGTGGAGGGTTTGGAGGAGTGGGGCCGGGACGGATGGGCAGTGCCTCAGGCAATGGCTTCTTGCAAAAGTCATCTTCGGAGGGAGGGAGAAGCTGGGAGCCAGGAGCCAGCCCTGCCAGATCCATGTCACTGTGATGAACAGGGTGGGGGAGGCATGGCACCAAGGCAGACCTCAGGGCCCAGCTCTGAGCCAATGCCACTACCCTGTAACAGGGAACTGATGCCTCATATTTGCCAGGTCTGGCGATTTCTCTGCCATGCTCAAGACCTGGGTGTTTTGTTTGTAACCTTCCTCAGAAAAACAGCATACCCAGGCTGGCATGGGTCAGCTTTTCCTTATTCAAAGCAGCCACCCTCCCCTTTGGACTGCAGCCCTGCCCATGGGGGACTGGCAGCCACCGGTGAGGCGAGGGGATGGGAATTGAGACTGCCAGGACACGGGCTGAGGTACGGGGAAGGGCTGGGGAGCAGGGCATAGGAAAGGGGAGGTGAGCAGGTCCCTGGCAACTGGCATCCTGGGCTGCACTGGGAGGAGCGGTGCCAGCAGATGCAGGGCAGTGCTTCTTCCCCTCTGTTCAGCACTGGGGAGGCCACATCTGGAGTCCTGTGTCCAGCTGTGGGCCCCCCACTACGGAAAGGATGAGGACACATTGGAGAGAGTCCAAGAGAGGGCAACGAAAATGTTTGGGGGCTGGGGGACAGGACTTGTGAGGAGAGGCTGAAGGCATTGGAGATATGTAAGGGGTGCATGTGGGTGCATGGGCCCCCCCGAGATTGGCCACTGCCTCCACTGCTGGAGGCATCTGTGGGTGTTTGCCAATCACCACTCGGCACTCACCCCCCCCACACACCTCTTGCCACCAACACCGCTGCGGTCACCTGAGGACAGTCCTCGCTCAACCCGCCCTCACTGCTGACATGACGGTGGCCGCCTGCGGGCAGTCACCACTTGCCATCACCATGAGGTGTCATGCCTGAGAGAGTTGGGCTGATTGAGTCTGCAGAAGAGAAGACCGAGGGGGGATTTGATAGCAGCCTTCACCTCCCTGCAGGGTGCATCTAAAGAGGATGGAGCTGGACTGGTCTCAGTGGGGGCAGAAGACAGGACAAGGAGCAACGGGCCCAAGTTACAGCAAGGGAAGTTGAGGTTGGATATTAAGAAAAACCTTCCCACTGGGAGGGTGGTGAAGCACTGGAACAAGTTACCCAGAGAGGTAGGCTGTGGACTCTCCATCCTTGGAGGTTTTGACGCCCAGGGTAGACAAAGCCTTCATTGTCTGAGTCGGTGATTCTGTGGCAAGAGGCTAATTTTGGGGTGGCAGGAGGACGGGGCTGTGGGGAGGCTAGTGTGGAAAGAATGAGGATGACGGGGCAGAGAGACATGGGGGCAGGAGGGTGTCAGAGGGAGTGGTGGGTTGTGAGGGCAGGGCGCAGGCTGTGGGGGGCAGAGGAGAGGGTCGGGGTACGGGATGGCAGCTCCTCACCTGGGGATGGAGCAGGGCCAAGGGCGAGGGCTGGGGTGTCCCCTTTGTCCACAGAGGGGAGATGTGAGTTGATTATGTTTTGACCTGCTGGGTTTCAGTTGTTCTTGGTGTTGTGTGTGTGTGTGTGTGTGTGTGTGTGTGTGTGTGTGTGTGTATGTGCATGGGTGTGTGTTAAAGTATGAGCCCACCTTATGATATTTGAAGAGCTGTCTGTGAGCCCCGGGGGTCACCTACCCCCGGAGCCACCTGTGAGGACGAGCAGGAGGAGCCAGGCCTGGCCCTGCTCCATACGGCGTGTCCCGGCGCATTGCCTGGGGACTCTGGCCGTCGGCACATGGAGATCTCCCTGGCAGCTGTGGTGAGCACAGCAGGGCTGAGGAGGTCTGTCTGTCCATCCTGTTGCAGCCCAGGAGGCATTGCTCCGCCATCCCTGCTCTGCTGCGCTTGTCCCTGCTCAGTCGCGTGCCTCGTTCCTCATCCTGCGCAGCGGCGGGAATGCTCCCAGGTGAATGACAGTCATCCGCCCAACCCAGGGTCCTCACCCACCCTCCCAGGGCTTTGACAGGAGGGCAAAGAACCGATTCATCCCAGCTGGGTGGCCTTGGGTTGGGATGTCAAGCAGCCGGGAAGTGCCCAAATCCAGTTCCCCCCTGGAAGAGCCCTGGGAGCAGGACAGTCCTGCTGGGTAGATACAGCCTGAGGGGTCAAGTAGAAGCAGCAAGTGAGGAGCCTTCCTGCAGGTGCCTCTTGCCCCACAGATCCTCTGTGCCCCACGTCCACTGCCAGGGGCTGCTCTGCCCCCAAGGGAAGGACTGCAGGGAAGCTGCGATGTCAGAGTTGGCATCCCCATGACTTGGGGAAGAAACCTGCTGGGGGGGAAGGGGAATGGCCAGGACATGCCATCATAGAGCCTGTGGGAGAGGGACATGGGTCCTGGACCCCTGGAGGGCTTTCCATCCCACCAGGCCCTGGATCTGGTCCTCCCTTGAGCTGAGAAAGCTGACTTCCCATCCCAGCCTTCCTCTCGCCTCCCCACAGGTGCCCGTGATGACTGTAGGGATGAATGCAAGCCCACTTCCAGAGGGGCACGGTCCCTGGAGTCTCTCTCTTTCAGTGCCTGGGATGAGCTGGGGTCGGGGTCGGGGGGCTCTACCCCGTGCCTCACTCTGCACGCTGGAGCAATCCTCTTGGCTCTGGCACACCCGGCTTCAGGGGTGTGCAGAATCACCATTGGGACCAAAGCACCTACCGCCCAATGCAGGACACCCTGCCTTGTCATCTTACTGGGAAGACAAGCTCTGCTCCGGGTTCATGAATTGCTAGAAGCTCCCTTAGACAATGCAATTTGGCACTTACGGGAAAAGGCAGAAACACCTTTGTGCTAGAAATGAAACTGGCAGAGAAGAAGGGAAATGAAAGAAAACCACAATGAAATAATGACAAGCAAGGTGAAGGGGTCATAGTTATAGGTGTTAACTGAACATTGGAAACTTGATGTTTAAAATAGTCTTGCTGTTTTCTGTCATCTGGTTTTGTATGATAGCTGCAAACAGCTCTTCCCCAGCTCAGCAGCCTGGAGAGTCCAGTTCAGCAGCCCCTTGAACTAGTTAGCCCTGACTATGGGCATTTCTGTTGCATTTTGTTCTCTTGACAAAGGGGTGTACAGGGAGGAAACCCTGCCTCCATCACACCTGTGCTGCTCCTGTGCGACTGGCAGGCAGCACAGTCCCATACACGGGCTCTGGGCTGCCAGCCCTGGGCTGCTGGGGGTCCAGGAGCCGAGGGATCAGGGGGTCTCCCTAGGATGGGGGAAAGGGAAAGGGGAAGAGGATGGACAAGGAGCAGCAGGGTTAACAGCGGTGCTCCAGAGCCACGTTGCAGCAGCAGCCACTCACGGGTCATCCGCTGGGTCCCTGATGTGGTCCCACCCCGGCTGGGAATGAGCTGTGTCCATGTCTGTCAGGCATCCTCAGACATAGGGCTGGGGCCCCGGGGGCTGCTGTAGCCTCTGCCACACCTTCATGTATTTTGTTCTCGTTTGACCACATCCTTGAGCAGAGCAAACCTGCTTGGGAAGGGTTTACTTCAGCCACCTACTCTAAATAGTAGCACAGCTTTTTAAATACCAGGCATTTGAAACGTGCTCTCTCAGGCGTTTTAAGCTCCGGTTCTTGCAAACAGGAAACCAACATTATTCTTGTTAATACATACTCACACATACAGGCCCTGCCCACTAGTGACCAAACATCCTACAAGGGGCTGCATCCATTTCCCCTACGATGCCATGCATTAGACACAGAGCTCAAAGCGCTGCTCCAGCAGGAGAAAGGAACTGTAGGCAGGGCAACAGAGACACCCTTTGAGGCCGAGTGAACAGCTGCTTTGGAAGAGCACTTGGGCTCCCAGTCAGTAAACTGAGCAGACTGAGTTGTTCAGAGTTGTGGTACCCCTGGATGTGCCTGGGCATGGGCGAAACATCCATTTTAACCTACGCGTTTAACCTACGGTTCATCTGTAAGACGAGAGTCCTTTCAGCATGTGGTCCTCCATGTGTCAGGCTGGGACTCAAATTGCTTTCAAATCCCTCTGCAGTCCCTGCATCCCTTCCTGGCCCCTCCTGGCCCTGCTTCCCCTCCAGCCCTGTGCAGGTGGCGAGTGAGGCTGGAAGTGGCCTCCGTGTGTGCAAAGCGGGAGTGCCAGAGACAATAAGCTGGGTTGCCACAGCCCTGGGGTTACAGATTCCCTTGAGCACAGGCAGTCACATCGCAATATTAATGACAACACCCAGCTGCCTTTCAGTGCTTTGCAACCTTTTAATGCCATCAAAAGCTGCCTGTGCAATTATAACACCAGTGATTTAGGACTTGTACAGTGGTTTAGGACGCATACAATTCCTGCTCTGGCAATTCAAGTAAATCCCATCTGAAGTTAAGTGAGCTTTTTGTTGTGCTGTCATACATAACAGCATGTCAGTGAAGCCAGCTCAAGCAGATATCCAGCTTCCCCCTTGCAGCTCCATGAGAAGAGCAGCAGAGCCGCGTGCTTTGCAAATACTCTCAGCATGATTTGCTTTGAGGATGAGAAGTGAATGCAATGAACACTTAGTGGGCACCAAACAGCGTGAGAGCAGCAGCGTTGGCCAGCAGAATGGATGCTCCAAACAGCAAAGGGCTCATGTGGTGGGGGAAGGTGATGCCTCTTCTTCCACCTGTGAACAAGAGAAAAGCACGTCAGGGAATTCCTTGGGAAGCCTTTGGTACCAACAACCATGCCTCGAATCCTGGCCCCATTGAATGGGACAAGTCTATGCCCAAGGGGATCCAGGCCCCCCAGCAGGAAACTCATGCTTGGCTTATACGAGGGACATTCATCCCTTTGGTGAAGATGTTTCCCTTCTCTTTGCCTTCCTTCAGTAGCTTGTTTCCTCAGTATAAATCATTATTACATTTCACCCAGGATGATGCAAAGTGGATTAGAAACTTGAGCAATGGCGGAAAGCTCAGATTCAGGTAGGATCTCCTTGCTCCACAACACAGGGCCTGGAGGGATAAACCAGCTGTGGTGGGGATTGCAAGAGCCGCAGCACTTGGGATGTGTCCCATTTCTCTACATCAGAGAGGAGGGCCAACTCTTCAGTTCTCACAGGGGTGATTTCCACTAAAGATGTCTGTGCTGAAGCTGTCTACAAATCCAGCTCATACAGACACGGAGGTGTTCGCTACAGTGCTGAGGCACAGATAAATAGCTGGATGCTGGACCCCACCTCTTTCCATTCAGAACATCACCCCGTGACAAACACCTTCGCAGTAATACACATCATGTCTAACATGCTATATATAGCCCTCGAGAAACGAACAATTCCACCCTTCCCTGTCCCCTGGTACACGTACAAAAACCTTCAACTTCTCACCCCGAGAAAATAAACAAAAGCAGCCTGGTGAGGGCCCAGGGCACGGCACAAGCCGGAAGAAAGAAAAGAAAGAAGGAGAAGGAGGAGGAGGAGAAAGGTTCCTACCAGATCTTTCAATGCATTTTTCATTCTTCTCACCTGAAAGGGAAGCAGGGGGTTTCAGTCCAAGGTTTCCCTGATCGGCCGTCTGCCCAGCCACAGTTTTCAACCCCGTTCTCATCATGCCATTAAACAGACTCAGCCGGTCCCATTTCCTTCCCCGGACGCTCACCCTGCTTTGCAGGGAGGCACAGGTAACCCCCGGAGGGGGCTGTGCTCTAGATGCACTGAGGTCCTGAGTGCCCCTCTCCAACTCACTCTTTCTTTCACACCTGCTCTAGTGCGCTCCCTTCTCCCTGCTTGGGTGGGATGCTGCAGGGTGCAAGCTTCTCACGGGCACCTCGCCATTCCCCCCTTTTGTTTTTATTTTATGGATTTGTAGAGCTATATATGAGCACCCAGAGCTGCTAAGCCATGACAGGCCTGGCTGGAGTGTGTGTGTGTGTGTGTGTGTGCATGCATGCACGCTCAGGGAGAAAGCCATAAGGCCATGAGGACTCACCCAGCCCAGTGTTTCTCATGCATCCACCCCCTCCTGATGCTTTCTACATGATCACCAGGGCTGGTAGAGACACCTGCAGCCCTCTCTACAATCCCTGGTGACCTTCCCCATGCCAGTGCCCCACCAACAAGTGCCTCTCAGGTTGGGAGGGTTTCAAACATACTTGGACACACAGCCCCATGCAAGCTTTGCGCACACTCAGCCCAGTACTCACGCCCCAGGTACACGCAGTTAAAATGGCTGCAGGTCCGGTTGGTGCTGCGGAGGATAAAGCTGTTTTTCCTGTCATCTCTTCGGGACACACTGAATTTCTCCTGGCTGGGGATGAGCACTTCCTCTTGCCATGGCTCCAGTGAGAAGCCCGTGATATTAACCCCAAAGCAAGTGCGGATGGTAAAAAACGTGTGCTGGCCAAATCCTTCTGCTACATTTTTCTTTAACGATGAGGAGGCAACCTGTCCAAACCTGACTGGAGCAGGAGGGTTGTGGATAAAAATTATGTTAGAAATCCCCCTGTAAACCTCCCTTCCGTGTGTCACACTACAGCTCTTCTTCAGGAGCTGTAAAGCTCTGGTCAGGTAGTAATGAAAGGCTTTGAAAGGGAAGCTCTTATAGGTACTTGGAGAGGCACCCATCTCCCGCACTGCCCGATTAAATAGGACAGCAAGGCTCGTGTCAGTGTAAGCTATTACAGCTTTTCCATGATTTTCCTTAAAGCCCTTGGGGAGATGAACAGAAGGATCTTTCTTCACTTCCTCCCACTGAGGTCCTGTTTTTTCCCAGGCACTTTTCAAAGCCCCAGAGTTCTTCTTCTCCATCTCCAGCAGCTTCGGTGCGATTCTTTCCATCTCCTCAGTGCACCCGATGTATTGGTCATCAACTACACCAGGCATCATGCTCATCTCTATTGTCTGTACACCTGGAGGAATAAAGCCAAGCCAGATCGATTACTGAGTGCATTGCTTTTACACTGAGAGGGCCTGGCCAGGATCAGGGCCCCATTTTGCGGCAGCCCCATGGCCCCTGCCCAGCCATCCCCAGTCTAACTATTCAAGCAGGGAGGGAGGGAGGGATGTAACCCACTATTATGAGACTGAGCTCTCCTGACCTCAGCCAGCACCAGGCATCTAAACAGCCGATCTGAGCCCTGGAGGGATCAAACCAGCAGAGACAGCTTCCCCACTCACAACCCCATCATCGTACGGCCAGCACCCCAACCCAAAGGCCTACTCTCTAGTCTTCTCCATGGTGCACACCAGTGCCCCAGCCCAGGTTGTATCTCAGGTGAGTCTCACTGTCCCTGTCCCTGTGCTGTCTCTCTATGCACACACACCCAGGTGGAAGACAAGAAATACCCAACTGGATATCCACTTCTTTCAAGTTCCTGACTCCCCTGCCCCCAGATTTAGGCTGGAGATGCATGCCTGGTGTTCACAGGCTGGAGGCTGTTGTTATCTCAGCTCCTTTATGGAAGGAGGGCGCTTTCTCATCTCCAGCCACCACCTGGAGATGGTCCACGCCAGCTCAGGTGAGGATGCATCCAACGTCTGACTTCGGTGTTGACCACTTGTCTCATGGCAATAGCTAAAGGGGAGCAATAGGAATGGGCCCCTAGTGCTAAATAAAAAGGGTGAGGAAAGAAGGGGCACTGCTGGAAGAGGTGATGGTGAGGTGAAGAGGTCAGTGGGGACAGACGTCGTGATCCCTACATGAACGAGCACTGAGCTGGCATCAAGTGCAGAGACACAAGCCAGGGGCAGGACACTCCAACCTCCCTGCACTTTATGGCACTTGCCTCAGAGCAGTGGGTCTTAAAAGACACTTTAGGAATGATGCGGGTGGGAAACTGAGGAACACGAAGTCACCCGCACACTGGGTTGAAACCACAAGTGAGCAACTTAAGAGTGGACAGGGGCTACACGCCACTCCAACTGTGGCCCTTGACTCCTCCCTGGACCCCTGCCTTGCACAGCCTCCGCCCCACCCACAGTAAAGGCCACCTCACTGCTACCCACACACCATGCCGCACGAGCCTCCCGCTGCCCCACCCTCTGCCTCGTCCTGGATGCTGTGAGCCTGGGCTATCCAATATCATGGGTGCCCTGGACCTGCATCCCAGCGTGGTGGTGCTGGTATGCCTTTCCAACCATAGCTTTCATGCGCTCTTTGTATCATCGGCACAGGATGGCATCCAGTTCATTAGATGCTACATGCATGTGGTGAGCCAGTAGGGGGCGCTCCTGTGCTGAGCCACCCACCTCACTGCACCCCACCACCTTCCAGGCTATGAGTGCCTTCCTGGGGGTGCCTCACATCTGGCCCACCCCCTTCCTGGAGCACACCTGCTAGCCTGGGGGTAGAGCTGCCACCACCCAGGGATGGGCTTGGTTCTGCCACTATGTCCCCTGGGAAATACAGGCCTAGTAGCCCTCGAGGGTACTTCACTCACTTCAAGAACTTGGAGCGCTCTTCTCAGTCAGAAGCACAAGTAGGGGTCTCCCTTAGTCAGCCGAACCAAGGGGATCCCAAAGCATAACCTAGACCCACTCCCAATAAGTCTCCTACGCTAGGTACAAAGGAGAACTTTACTGCTTACAAAGAGTAGGGTTGGAATAGGGTACAGGGTAGAGCAATATCAGAGAAATCCCATAGAGCAAACAGGGTGGCTGGAGTAGCCTTTGATCACACATCTGAGTTACTGCAAGCTATAGATCTAGTTGGATCTCAGGTAGCTTACTCACAAGGATCATCCAGAGGCAGGTGCAGACTCCTGCTGGAGGCAGGCAGTTCCTTGATCGTGAGTTTTGAGAGAGAGAGAAAATTTCAGGTGGCTCAGCTCTTCTCTCTCTCTCTGAGTTTTCCCCGTGGCTGCTGCCCCTTCCTCCTGGGCAGTCCTTAATTTTATAGCCCTTATGACCTCATTTACATGGTCCAGTGGAGGCCAGCACCTGCTGGCTGTCAGCCAACCAATTTGAAATGAATCACTAGTTGCTGGGCAGACTCTAGCTCCCCAGGGAGCAAGCCCTTCACCCAGGTATGGGATGCCACCCACATAGGCAGAGGGAGCAGGCTTCCCCCCTCCCTCAGGAATGTATCCAGCTCAGGTTACCTAAAGAGATAGGGTAAGGTGTGCACCCTCTGCTGGGCCCATCCTAACCAAATTGTCACCGAGCAGAGTTTTTGGGGGAGAAACAGAGGTGGCCTTCTGCCACAATGCACATCAACGCCATTATGAGCAAGTACATGGTCTTCTATTGTGCATCCCCTTTCCACAGGGTTTACGCCAAGAGTTACTAGACACCTCAGTGTTTCCTTAGAACAATTACCATATTTACTTGAATTCAGGATGACTCCCCCTCCCCCATTCAACATGAGGAAGAAAGCCCCTTGTCTTGGATTCAAGTACAAGCCAGGAGGAGAGGGGCACAGGCAGGTGCTGCAGCTCTGCCTCTGAGCAGGTCCAGGCAAGTATTAGACCCATAGCTGCTGTCTGCTCCCACCTGTCCCCCCTCACCATCACCACTTTCCCACTGTGTTGGATGCTGCCACTCCGGTGCCCTTCACACGCGCAACAAGCCATTTTTCTGCTCAGAGACAGGGGAGAGGAGTTCAAAGGAACATTGGTACCTTGTTGGGCCTGGGTTGAGCCCACAACACACAGAAAGAGGAGGATCCGGTGACTCCACATCCTTTCCACGGCCAGGGTGGGGCTGCAGGGAACAGTCTCATTAGTGCAAAGTGAGAAAGCGAACACCAATACCCGCCTAATTGTCTCACTCGGCTGCACTGTGCCAGGCTCAGCGATGGGAATTTCTGATCCAGAAAGTTTTCATCTTCTGGGTTGCATCTCCAGGTCATGATTTGTATTTCAAAATGCTGAGAAGGCCCTCAGGGTACCGACTGCACCCACAACCCCCCTGCCTTTCTACCTTCCTCTGATTCCAGTTTCAGGATCCCTTGCCCCCCCAGACAGGATCCTTCTCCTGAAAGAATATGCCCTGGGGCCAAGAGCTGACTTTGAAACCAAGGTAAAGAACTGTGTAGCATTTTACTTAGTAGAAAGCTCTTTCTTTCTGTTAGTAAAGAGCTAATTAATTAGACAAACAGGCTATTCCAGAGAGAACATGGGATTGGGCTTACACAGGACACCTGATTCCCTTTCTAGCCTGAACAGGCAGCACAGGAGAGCACGAAGTGTAGAAACAATTCAGACACTGCCCTGCAAAACTGGCCAAGGCACATGGGCAATGGTGAGGGAATCATTGCCCATTGATGCTGCCACTCTTAACGCCGGAGGGAATCATCTTGTCTGCGTTTGCAGCAGCTTGGCTGAATCCATAGCTAACAAACTTGGTGAAACATTTGGTGCCCAGGAACAGAGGTGTGAAAACCTCCTTTAAACAGCATTTGCTTCAGCAGCCACCATTTAGGTGGAAGAGATAAGTGTATGCATGAGATAAATGTTCCTCCTTAAGCCCCCTGAGCTGTATGGAGCAAACTGCATGTCTGGAGAGTACTTACTGGCACTGGTGCTCAGGCTCCTCTTCCCCTGTCTCAGTTTCTAAATGAATCCCGTAGGGCACTGCAATGTCTCTCTCTCTCCCAGTCAAGAAGAAATATGACCCCACGAATGAGTTCAACCTGTTCTCACATGCAACTTCCTTTCTTCTCTTTCACTTTCCTTGTTTGCTGTATCTGCTTAGTTTTTCTCACCAAATTATTAGCAGTTGCAAGCACTTGCTATTGTGGTCCTCTCACGGCCACTTTTGGGACGGTCCAAATCCCCGAATCTGGGCAGCTTTTCCAGCAATCCGTCAGCTCCGACCAGAAGCTGGCTACCACATGGGAAGCCACAGCAGATTCTTGCCCAGGTCCCACATTGGGGTGTGGGTACTTTGTTCCTGATTGCTGGTCCACATATCCCTGAAGCTGGCTGTGCTGGTGCCCAGAAGATCTCTGTGTTGAGAGAGGCAGCACACAGCAGAGCCCCCATTTCCTTTCCTTAAGCTAAGAGAGCAATCCCTTAGAGCAGTGTGAGCACCCCTTGGAGGAAGTCTAGAAACACCCCATTCCTAAGCCAAGGTAGATTGGTTTCAATGGGGAAAATGGTAGATGATTTGGGGGTGTTTTAGTTATTGTTGGATTAATCTGTTCTCAGTGGGGGCAGATGACAGGACAAGGAGCTATGGGTTCAGGTTGCAGCCAGGGAAGTTGAGGTTGGATATTAGGAATATCTCTCTTGCTAGGAGGGTGGTGCTGCGCTGAAACAGGTTACCCAGAGAGGTGGGGGAGTCTCCATCCTTGGAAGCTTTTGAGACCTGGCTAGACAAAGCCTTGGCTGGGATGATGTAGTTGGAGCTGGTCCAGGTTTGAGCAGGGGGTTGGACTAGATGTGACCTCCTGAGGTCCCTTCCACCCTCATTTTCTATGATTCTATGATTATCATTTAATTGAGCATAATAAATCGCAGGACCAATTAAAAATCATTCTGTAACTTAGCTGCCAGCTACAATGAGATGAATGGACTGGTTTGATAATTGGCACCTCAAATAATCCTATTTGCTAAAGCACGCCCAACCATCCTCCCGTTGCTGAACGCCTTTTAGACTTTTATCAGGTCTTACCAGAGCAGATGGCAGCCCCTTGTAACTTCCTGTAACCGAAAGCAGCTTACGCTGGCTGGAGAGAGGTTAAACAGCGTCATGAAGCTGTCATGCACAAAGGGATTTGTGCTGAGTAATATAATAACTGACATGCTTCTACTCAGGCACCCAGGGGTAATCCCGTGACTTCCTAGCACTCACCAGGTCCTGTAGATAAGTTGTGTCCTGTCAGGCAAGGCAGCAGGTAAGCTGGCTGAAAAAAAAGCAGTGACAGGGTTTGTGTGCAGAAATAGGAGCTGCAATGAACTCAGCAGCAAAACCACCTACCCTGTCCTGCCCCCGACCTCCAGCCAATTCACCCCCACCCCTTCCACACCTCCTCAGCCTCTCCCAGCACCTCTTCTCCCATGTACACTTCCTGCATTGACTGCAACGTGAGATCTTCATTGATGTGGCCAAACCAGACTGAATGCACTTGGCCTCAGCAAGTGTTGCAAGGGAAACCATCTCGAAATCCCAGGCTCCGTGGATACAAGCCAAGGAGTCATGGTAGAGCACTTAGCAAACAGCAATAGAAGCCAATTGAGTGACAGGACTTCTTTTGGTCCAGTCACCCCTGTTGAGTTGAGTTGATCGGGAGGAAGACATCCTAGGCAATGTATCGGTGACAGAGAAATGTAATCTATACAGTATAAAACAAGCATCCAGTGAGTATGTACAGCTCAAAGAAAGGGTTTAGGTATTGCACCAGTCTCAGAAATCCTCACGTTTGTGTCTGAGAGATGTTCAGTGCTCTGTTTCCTTGTGCAGGCGTCCTGCAAGAGTTCAATCAGCAGAAAAAAAGCATCACTGCTAAATCCAGATATTCAAGTCAAACACTCCAGCCTTTGGAAAGGTTTGGATCTGGATTTCACACCCATCTGTCACTCAAGAAGCAGCCATATGCATCTGGCTCCATATATTTAATTGCTCTTAGTAATACACATTGATTTTCTTTTCTTGGATTGCTTGGGGATTCGGCATATTATTTCTGTCAAATCTGATAAACTCCATATGATACAGTGTTATCCACTCACTGATTTACAAATGGAAAAGGAGTGTCACAAATCCACATGTGGAGCCTGCAAACTAGGTTTTATACTTGAGCATGACATAAGAGATAGCTAAAAAACTATGAGCAATATGGCTATGATCACTTTGCTCTTTGATGCATGACACTGTCGGCATGTCTACACGTGCAGTTAATGCTATTTGGCTTTACTGTGCAGTAAATTAGGCTAATTCACTGCACAGTAAACGTCTACATGTGTAGACAGTGATGCTTTACTGCGCACTAGACTAGTCTACTGCACAGTGAAGCATCTCATGTAGACACTGCCTGTGACACACAAAAATGGATGACTTCAAAACAGCTACTGCTCCAAGGCAATGTGTTCAAGAATGAACCCACTGGACCTCCATAAAGAATAGACAGGCAGAGATCTGGGTTATTCAGGGTGACCAAGAAGAAGACAGTGCTCATTAAGTATCAGCAGCAATAATGGCTGCTTTCACCCTCGGTGTCCCTTGGAGGCTTGAGCTAGGTAAACTTGCAGTGCCTACGTCCTGTAGAATCACCCTAGCCAAAGTAACAAAGCTTGTGTCAGCTACACAGCTTTTCTTCGAATCACATAATTTTGGGAAAAGGATTGCATGGAACAGGTTACCCAGAGAGATGGTGGGATCTGCATCCTTGGATGTTTTGAAGACCCAGCTCAATAAAGCCCTGGCTGGGATGATCTATTTGGGTCTGGTCCTGCTTTGAGCAGGGGGTTGGACTAGATGTGACCTCCTGAGGTCTCTTCAACCCTCATTTTCTATGATTCTATGATCTCCAAAATGGTTATGGGCTAGGCACCCCTTGAACTGATATTGTATGATTCTCAGTTATTGCTCATCTGACAGTATATCCTCCTTGGCTCCAGTTGATCTGTTTCTCAATAGTACAAATATTATTTTGATGATGACACTTAGGAAAAGGGGCATTTAGCCAAAGATGTTACCCATACACACTTTGAGAGGTGTCACTGTGGTATTCAATCATTAAATATCAGTGATGCTCATATGACCTAGATAAAGAAATTGCATTTGGTTGGTTAAGAATACACATAACACCTTCTGTGATGGGACAGTAGGGGACACTCTTGCACTGAGTCACTTGCCTCACTGCACCTGACCAAAAACCAAGCTCTGAGTGCTTCTCCTGGGGCACCTACATCTGGCCAACCCACTTCCTGGAGCATGCACACCCACAAGCCTGAGGTAACTGCTGCTGCCACACGAGGTCTGGTCTTTGTCAGGGCTCTGAGGTCCCCAGGGTAGACAGACCTTGTAGACCTTGAGGGTGCATAACCTACCATGGGATTCTGTGTGCTGGAGAAGCAGGCCAGAGAGGTGAGGCTTCACAGTAGTAATGGCAGAAGCGCGAAGATGGATGCTTGTGTGAGCAGAGCCAGGCATGGAAGTGGCCTGGGGGTTGTGAATACTGACTGCTGAGCCATAGCAGCCTGGGGGAGAAGTATGCAGCATGCCAGGGTCTGGTTCCAAGGTCATCCACTGGACTTCTCTCCTCATGCAAATTCCAGGGAAGATGGCTTGTCCCTGAGGTGCACATTGCATGCATCTACACATTCATTAATATGCCATAGTGACTGCCCAATAAGTTTAGTCCTTGTATAACCAAGTACTAAATCAATGTGCAGTACCTGGTGCTACTGCACAGTAGCACAGGCGCATGTGGACATGTGTAGACAAAATGAGGGAAATGTGTGCATGACACTTTAAAGCGGGTTAAATGCTTTTGCACTGCTTTAATGGTGTTGGTGTTTGCACACGTCAGCAGTGTAATGTGCCTTAAATGACTTTGGGGCACAGCAAACTAAAACACCTCCAAGGAGTTTTAGTTTTCTACTCTACAGCCATGGAGCAAAGCACCAGGCTCCGTGCGGCTCAGGGGCTGTGCAGGCAGACCATGCAGGCAGCCTGGCAGCAGCCTGGGAAGGCAGGCTCCACTAAAGAAAAAAAAAAACCTGGTGAGCCTGATCCCCCGCCAGAGCCTGCTTGCCTGCATGAGCTGTGCAGGGACCCGGTTCTTCCTTCCACAGCTGTGGTGACTCCCAGGACCGCCTGAGCTGGATGCCTGCAGGCAGGTGCTATCTTGGGGGCTGCGCTGCTGCCATGGAGAGAAGCACCAGCTACCCGCTTCGCCCCCGCAGCCCAGGGACTGCTCCACCCGCCGCCAGAGCAGCAGGCAAGACACGGGTGTATATGACCTGGGAGTTCACCTCATCCTAAATTGAAGCAGTGTTTTTAAAAGCCTATCACTTCAATTTTGGGCAAAATAAACCCCCATTTCATCTACACATGCCCTGTGACACTAACTATGCAGTAGTCTTATAACACTGCACAGTAGCGTATTAGCACGAGTTTTGTCCAGCAAGCTACTGCACAGTGTTGTTAGTCTAGTGCACAGTTAGCATCTCATGAAGATGCACCCAATGAGTACACTGGGCTGCAGCAAAGCCCATGCTATGAGACAGGAGGTGAGGTCTTACCAGGCACTGTGGTCACAGCGTTCCAGGTGTGAGAGCTCGCGCTGCTAAAGGTTGAAATCCTTTCAAGAGCAATGTTAGCGCTGGTAGGCATGAAAACATCATTTGCAAGATAAACCCACATAAGAGTCCAGAGAGATAACAGCCTTTTGCACTGCTGTGATCTTTCTGAGTCTGTGCCATGGAAGAATGGCTCTGTGACATTTCTGTCATGAAAAAAGCAGTGACAACTAAGAGCTGGCATTTCCCAAGAATGGCCTCAACCCAACAAGGTTGGGAAGGGCTGAGCTAGCAGTGGCCAGAGCCCTGCTCCAGCCATGGTGCTGGACTGTCCTAGTTTGCAGACCGGTCGCAGTGCTGTGCTGTCAGAGTTCACCCGACTCTGCTCAACATAGCAATGTTTCCAGCCCATAATCTGACACGGAGGCCACAAATGTGTCTGTGCTGCAGTGACAGAGCTCAGTTTGCTGCTAAAGCAGCGAGTCCCACCCCATGAAAGTCAGCCCTTGGGAGAGAGGGGGAGCGGTGACCCAGAGGCCTGGAGCAGAATGGAAACCTAAGCCTAGAGCAGGGTGCTAGGGGGATCCCTGTCCATCGCTTTGGGCTTGAGGAGCATGGGTAGGGCTCATTTCAATGCTATGTTCTGCTGCCGTGGGGCAGACATGTCCACTAAGCTCAGTGCTCACTGTTGGGTGGTGACGGGATGGTTAATCCCCATCCCAACCTCCCTTGCCTTGCTGCTCAAACCCTGGCTGCTTAATGCCTTCAAGGTGAAGAGATAAGCCGAGGACATGATCTACAACCTGACCCCTGGATACCTGACTCCCTTGGGCAGACCTGAGTCCAGGTGGTAGCTCCTACAGGCTTTATTAGTCATCCCCCACAGCTGGGCATCGAACAGCTCTCACTACCTTCGCCCACGATGCCATCTTGTGCAGCAAACCAGGGGAGGCTGCACACATGGACACAGACAGCTGCACCAGTGAGGAGAGAGAGCCATTGGATAACAAGTGGCTAAGGGTAGAACGAAGGTGTGTGGCACAGGTACTTTATTGGTGATGGTTGTATAGACAAGCACGTGGATGTGCTCCATGAACAGGACTATCGGGGACAGGGGAAGGCAGACCAGCTCTAGACTTGCAAGGAATAGAAGCTGCTCTTGTGGGAGCCCTCACTCCATCAGGGCTGAACACGTCCTGGGGACAAGGAGAAAGACCACAATGCAGGCCCTAGAGGGATGCTGGGCCCCTAAAGACAGGACATCTCAGTGGCTCCTTGGAATAGCTCAAGCAGGGATGTGGTCAGAGGAGGTCACTGAGGGCCGATGCCCGCTGAGCCCCTGCCCTCCTGGGACACCCCATTGCCAGGCTCCACCTGCCGACGTCCCCTGGGACTCCAAAGCATCACTTCTCAGCCAGGGGGGATCTGTGGGGCCACAGAGGCCTGTCCCCAGGCACCAGCAGGAGG